TTCTATTATACTATAAGGCGGTTTCGGAGAGGGTCTTTCTTCCAAGACAGGGTTTTTTTCGGAAGGTGGTAAGGCTGAAAAATTATGTCTGTGACCAATGTTCTCTCTCTATTACTGCAGAGCTGCTGAGTGAGATTCCAAGGTACGGCTGCTTTGGAGACACTCCTCTTTCGAAATTCATGGGTAACCCCGCCCACTTTTGCGCATGTCCTGCCCACTGAGACTTCATTTCCTTCGCTGACCTCTATACTTTTTTCCTGGTGTCCAAGACTTCTTGGAACCGAGTAATAATGTTTCGTGCATAACTCCGCCCACTTTTGTGCAAGCTTAGCCCACCATTAGCATTTAACCCCTTTCCCTCCGGCAACCCTTATCCACATTTTCCCGGTCGCTGGGGCTTCTAGGAACCGAGTTATGAGAGTGGTGGCAAACTCCGCCCACTTCGGGGTGTGCCACGCCCAGCGTTCACATTCAACCTCTACTCCTCTCTCACCTCTATACACATTTTTTCAGGTCTCTAAGTCATCTCGGAGCCGAATTATGAGGTCTTGTAGAAGACGTTATGAGTCACGAATTTCTGTGGCAAACCCCGCCCACTTTGGTGCATGCTTAGCCCACCAATGGCATTTAACCCTTTCCCTCCGGCAACCCTTATCCACATTTTCCCGGTCGCTGGGGCTTCTAGGAACCGAGTTATGAGAGTGGTGGCAAACTCCGCCCACTTCGGGGTGTGCCACGCCCAGCGTTCACATTCAACCTCTACTCCTCCTCTCACCTCTATACACATTTTTTCAGGTCTCTAAGTCATCTCGGAGCCGAATTATGAGGTCTTGTAGGGGACGAAATCGAGCTACGTATCTTTGTGGCAAACCCCGCCCACTTTGGTGCATGGGTCGCCCACTGATATCAGTTGACTATCATCTCTTCCCCAACCTTTTTCTACTTTTTTCCCATCTCCGGAACTTATTGGAACCGAGTTATGAAGTACCGTGGCAAACCCCGCCCACTTTGGTGCATGCTCCGCCCGCCAACAGCGGTTGACCCCTTTCCCTCTGCCAACCCTTATACGCTTTTTTCCCGGACTCCGGGACTCCTAGGAACCGAGTTATAAGCCTAATTGCAAACTCCGCCCACTTTGATGTAAGCCACGCCCATCCCTGACATTTAGCTTCCCCTCCCCTCCTGACCTCTATCCGCTGTTTTCCGGTCTCTAAGTCATCTCGGAGCCGATTTATGAGCTCTTGTAGAAAACGCTGTCCGCTTCACGACACGCTCCGCCCATTGTGGGCGGGCCTCCGTTCACATCATGCGTGCTGGAAATACCTTAGACATTGCTCCCCTGCACTAATTTCGTTTCTGCTCTGTAGGCTTCCTCTTAACCGAGTTATGAATATTTTCACTGAGCACCGCTTTTTTAGAGAACGCCCCGCCCATCTGGCTTACCAACGCACACTTATAACCACTTTTGTCCCCAGTCTCGAGGCTGTTTTTGACTGAATTTGGAAATCATGGTCCTCAGTATGCACGCCACGCCCACTGTGGGCGGGGCTCCGCTTGGCTGATGTGTGTTTTTTACTTCTAGGGATATGGTATACCCATCCCAAACTTGACCTGGACCCTGTAGGTTGTTGTTCGCTTAATACCGAATTTCGTGACAGACGGACAGACAGACAGACTTAGCGCATTATATATAGTAGGGATGCTTTATGTCACAGTCACGTGCTCTTCCGTCAGTGCAGTCTTAATATGATCGAATATTCTGCACTCCTCATAGAAGTGTCTCGCTATTTGAATCCTTCCTAGAATGGAGGGGTCGTGCGAGAAGCCTCCTTCCAAGGATGGGGGAAGGGGGTGTTGTGCTGCACCCGAAAACTCACCAATGCAACAGGTGCCCCAGTCCCATAGAGCGAGCATAATTTGCTGGTATACTCTTGTCAGCGACATGGGCGAATTGAGACCTTGATGGCTCCGTTGGACAAATTCTATGACCAACCGGTTGGCATGTGGTATATAGATGAATGGTTGTCAAAAAAGCGCCTTAGTTGAGAAAGCGCATTGCAGCTTTAATCACCGCTAGATGATTCGGAACCCCAGCAACTGGTATCTGTTGATGAGGTAATAAATAAGAAAAGTCTCACGTGGTGTCATCTCGTACGGTTTATACTCTGTGAAGTTGATACACGTGTCATCCATCCATAATTTCGCTGCTTTCTCAAAGGAACTTTTCGTCTTCTTATCTGTAACTAATAAAAAAATTTTGTAACGTTCTCCATGCATGAGCAAGAGGACCTGACCTAATTCCCAGAACATGTAAGCAACTCCGTTAGACCATTTCAAGGTGGGGAAGGTTTGGTCATTGTAGGCTTGCCTTTTGGAACGAGCTCTACTAATATCTGCAGCAATTTGATCCTTTTGCTCCCTGAACATCATGCAAGCTTAGCAGAAAAAATCAAATGAAAAGTAGGAGAGCTAACTTCGAAAGAACAATATCTCCCTGGAACAGCTTTGCTGCAACTCCGCTTTTCGTGTTGACCTCCTCGATGGAGTCTCCCATTGGTTGCACTTCATCAACAGTATCTCTTTTGAAAAACTGAAATATTCGAGTCTGTTAGACAACTGGCTATCAAATGTAAATGGTTTTCTCATCAGAGCTCACCTTTTGCTCTTCAAGGATTTCCGTTCTCAATTCTGGACTCAAAACGGTTATGTCTGCGCTTACCCATGCGGCCAGAATTAATGCGAGCATAAGAAAACTCATGGTAGACCTCAGAGCTATAGTTTTTCGAATGATAGGATTATCCGGAGATGAAATTGCTGGAGGATGAAGTCAATCTCTTTACCCTTATTTATACGGTACTTCTGGACTCTGAAGTTGACTCAGCGGGATTTTGTCGATATTGATTCATAAACGTTCATGACGTAAAAAATTTCGTTTCGTATGCTCTTCTGACATGTCACAAGAATGAATGTAGAATTGAAGGGTGCCACACCATCGGCTAAATCCACGAATTGCATCATTTAAGATTTTGGATTTAGTTTTGCGCTGGTCTGAAATTATGCTTTGTGTTGCAAAGAAAGTAAGCCGAACCAACCAACCACAACCCGACAACACTCACACACACATTCTAGATGGCTATACTTTTCTAGCGAAAACGACTCTGTCTTGGAGAACGATTTTCTCACGTGCAAAGCCTTCTTTATTTCCCGCTGGAAAATGATTTTGAAATTACTACAACACATCCTAATTAACATTCCATCAGGTCAGGTCAAGTTCAAGGAAGATTCAATTCCCGAGTAGGTTTGAATAACATTGGGTCATTCTGCTACGAAAAGGAGTTTATTTCAATCAAAAAGCAGTGTAGAACATCGACGGCCATCCTTATCCTACATGATCTAGAAGAAATTGTTAACCATTACAGACCTCGTGGAATGTGACTGCCTAATGCTTCTTGTTTCTTTTTAATAATTTATCCATTTTCAAAGGTTTAAGGGCTGTTCTCTTTTTCGCGTTAGCTTCAGAGGAAAGCGCGCTTGCCGCCCCCACTCCCTCCCGATCCGCGATGCGATGCGTCACGGAAGGAACATGTACATTTCGTCCTTCGGCTTACTTTCTTTGCAACACAAAAGCATAATTTCAGACCAGCGCAAAACAAATCCAAAATCTTAAATGATGCAATTCGTGGATTTAGCCGATGGTGTGGCACCCTTCAATTCTACATTCATTCTTGTGACATGTCAGAAGAGCATACGAAACGAAATTTTTTACGTCATGAACGTTTATGAATCAATATCGACAAAATCCCGCTGAGTCAACTTCAGAGTCCAGGAAATACCCGTCAATAAATAGGTGAACCGTCGATTTGACTTTATCCTCCGGCAATTTCACCTCTCCTAATAAGTCCTACCATCTTCGAAAAACTATAGCTCTGTGGTCTACCATGAGTTTCCTTATGCTCGCATTAATTCTGGCCGCATGGGTAAGCGCAGACATAACCGTTTTGAGTCGAGAATTGAGAACGGGAAATCCTTGAAAAGCAAAAGGTGAGCTCTGATGAGAAAACCATTTACA